AAGGAGTCGCTTGGAGGAATTCATGAACAACATCGCGGTCCTCCTTCTCCGTGTAATGATCCCGGTTGAGCCAATAAGGGAGGTCGAGCTAAAAACCTTTTAAACAAGCGCTAAATGGGAAGCAACCCATTCTCGAGTTCTTACTCTTATTTCGTTATTTTTTTTCTTCTTTAATTTCATTATCTTTCTTGTTTTTGTTTTTTTTTTTTTTTTTTGTTTTGATTCTTATAACTAGTTTTTGTTTTGTTTGTGGTTTTTATATAGGTGAAAAGTAAGCAAAAAGAAGAAGAAACAAGGAAGAAATGCGCAAAGAAGAAGGAAAAAGGAGAAAATCACATTTCTGCAGAGGCACGACCGTGCCCCTGAGGAGGCACGTCCGTGCCTCAAAAGGCAGAAACTTTGGGGACTATTTTTCTAGAGAGGCGCGTCCGTGCCTCCCTATAGGCACGTCCGTGCCTCAGCTCGTAAAAAAAAATATCTGCAGAGGCACTTCCAGGACGGTCCTAGTACCGACCCGAGGTATGGTTTTCCCCCCACCCCTTCTGATCAGTAGTTTGCTTTTCCCTTCCCCTTGTTTATTTGCTTTGATTTATGCATACATTGAGGACAATGTATGATTTAGCTTGGGGGAGGATTTGCTTTTCACCTTGTATATATTAGATTTATTTCAGTTTTTGGGTAGTTTATTTCTTTCTAGTGTCGAATAATATGCCATTGCATGACTATGCTTCTATGATTATAATCACATATGTGTGCTTTTTGAAAAAAAGAGTTTTTGAAAACCCATTCATTGATGTGCTTGGATTTGAGGTAGGTTGTGGCCAGGATGGTCTCCCCGCTCTACTTATGTGAATAGTTTGTGTACCCGGTGAGAGTCTTGAGCCTTATTTGACTGATTTCACTCTACCTCAGTCATGTTTCTTCTTGTGTGATTAGATTGTCCTTCATATAATCGAATTCTTGGTCTTGCTTCTTGACTATTTGAGACTTTATGATGCATGTCGCGAAAAGATGATTGAAATTTCCTTGTAGAAATTAGAGCCTCCACATTTTAGGCCTTCATGTTTTTCTTTTTGTTTTTATTTATTTTTATTTTACATTCACCCGTAGGTTGAACCAATTTGAGCCATATTAACCCGTTCTTGATATCCTACATTTAAAGCTTTAAAGCTATTTTTCTAGGTTTATTTTGAAGGTGTTTTACATTTGTTAAGCCCTATGAGTGTGAATGATGTTGAAAAAAGAAAAAAAAACCGAAAAAAAGGAAAAATGAAAAAAAAAGAAAAAAATAAAGAAAGAAAACAAAGAGAAAAGAAGGGAGATTATGAGAAAGAAAAGGAAGAAAGAAAAAAAAAGGAAGAAAAGAAATATGGTCTTAAAGGCCTTTGAAAAATAGAGAAGTCTTCCATTTTATTTTTATTTAATCCCTTCCTCTTTGTGTGAAGAAAAAAGGGAAGGAAAGAATAAAGGGCTATGTTTATAATTGTATGGAGTTGGAGGAAATAAGGTTGGATTGAACCCGACATTTGAATGTGTAGTGGGATTAGGATTTATTTTATTTTGAGCACCACATTCCCAAAATACGTCGTCTAACCCTTATTAACCGAGCTTACCTAATATGGATTTCATGATTTTCGTGTTTGCATCAATCACTAAAAGTGGAGAAAGTCACATTGCAAGCCTAAGGAGGTCGGTTGTGTGAAGTTGATATGCATGCTATGCTTAGGTTGAGTGGCTTCATTTTTCACCCCGAAAACACATGAGCGTTATTGTTTTTATTTTTCACAACTAAAGTGAGAACTATTCATGTTTGTGTGAGTAGGTATGGGGAGATGTGTGGTAAGATTGGTTGTCAAGGCCAAGTATATGAGATGAATGGTGGTTTTTGTGCATGTTGACTCTTGATTTCGTTTTTATCGTGGTTTTGAACTTAATGGCACATTGTGATTGTTTGAGGAGTTATCATTCTCTTCCCTTGTGATTCATGGTTGAATTCTTGAGGACAAGCATTAGTTTAGCTTGGGGGAGTTTGATATGTTGTGTTTTGTGTATATTATTTGACTTGTTCTTAGTTAGTTTTGCTAGTTTAGTTGAGTATTTGAGTTTGTTTTGGCGTATTTTGCTCTAGTTTGGATAATTTGATTCTTTTGTGGGTAGTTTTGTTGTTTTTAATGATTTTCAGGAATAATGGAGCTAATTTGGATGAATTATAGATCCACGAAGTAAGTCAAAGCCCATGGAGTTTGGGGATTGAAGAAAAGTCAAGAAAATGGCGTTTTAGAGGTAGGCACAGCCGTGCCTCCCCATTAGGCACGTCCGTGCCTCTATGTTTGAAGCTGCGCCAAAGGAAGACCCTAGGCACGTCCGTGCCTAGCAGAAGAGGCACGTCCGTGCCTAGGTAAAGAAGCAGGCACGTCCGTGCCCAGCAGTCAGGCACGTCTGTGCCTGGAAAACAAAAGCTAGATGAATTTTGCTACGCCTAGAGGCACGTCCGTGCCTAGTAAAGGGCACGTCCGTGCCTCCTGGGATTCTTGTGCGCCAAGGCTTAGCCGTTTTTCTTATCTTTTTAGGCTCATATAAATACTTTTTAGCCTTGTTTTTCTAGGCTATTAATTCATTAAGCCTTGTTTTATTTTTTTTTATTATTCTCTCCTTAAGAACTAGTTCTCCATTTATTTTTCCAAGTTTTTGTAATTCAAGATTCAAGATTCAAGCTTTCTACTTTCAATGTTATTCAAGATTTGGTATTTATTTTTCATCCTTTGTTATTTAATTATGCTTTCATTATTTATTATTGTTTTTGTTTCTTTAATCATGTGTGAGTAGATTCTTTAATTCAAGATCTAGTGTAGCCCAAATATTATTGATGCATGAATTAACTCTTTAAATTCTTTAACAACTTTAACAATTGAATTGCTAAATTGATTGTGATTATGCCAATGCTAGGTTAGACGTAACTATAGTATTGCGATTATTCCATTGTTTTTATCACAGCGAGAGTTGGGTATAAACGGATTTGAGTAAATTAATTTAGGGTTTGATTCACAACACGAGAGTAGTTATGTTTGATAATTGGGAAGTGAGAGTAACGTGTTTAATGCCTTTAATATGCATGATACCATGAGAATAGGATTGATTGTATGTTAGGGAAGCCATTGATACTCGAGAAAGATCCTTGGTATTTATTAGGGTTTACTTTTCCCCGTTCGATTGAAATCGTATGTTAAGGGTAGAATTACAATTGCATCGATAATAGTTGTGGTGAAGCTAGATCTTGGATGTTTTTAATTGCTTGATTTAATCATCTTAATTAGTTTATTTTCGAATTCTTCTCATACTTAGTTCCGTAGATAATTGATTATAATTGATTCTTGCTTAGTAGAAATTCGAGTCTATTTAATTATTTTTGAACGTTAGTCTCTTGGGATCCGACCCTTACTTGCCAGTCTACATTAGTATTGGTCTGTTAGGTTATTTTGATAGGTACGCGACACGCCTACCATCTTTAAAACTTAAAACGTGGAATAAAATTATTTAAACACAATATTTAATAATTAAAACATAACACAATAATACATTAAACATTACAACATAATTAAACATTAAACACCTCCCTAATTAAGCATTACAACACAATAATCCAAGTCTAAATGAAACAACCCCTACAATTTAAAAACTAAGTACAACACTTAGCTGAAACGAAAACATTAAGCCATCAACATCAGAAGCTAAAATGAAAACATCTACCATTTAGCATCATCATCATCGCTTGAATCACCATCCACATCAGAAGCTGAGGACCCCCCTGGCAAACCGTCCGCAACCTTCTCGGCGTAGGTCGTCTGATTAATTCTGGGTGGACGGTTGATTAATCTTGGGTGGTCGGCGATGTTTACTCCATTCATAGCACACATGGTCGCCATGCATTCTGTTTGGTTTTCCTGGAATACAACAGCAAAATCAACAGGCCCAAATTTAATCCATTCCCCCGACACAATATCTCCTCCTTAGTCCCAGTTATTATCGTTATTATCCCAGAAGAAAACTCCCTACGAACTGCCAACAAAGCCCAAGACTCAGCCCCATGGGTGTTAATGAGGTCATCCATAATGGCTATCCATCTACCAATACCCATAAACATATACAGAAACCTAATAAGTTACCTGTACCTAACCTCCCAATTGGTACACAGCCACAAGTAACGACGCAACTCCCCTAGATTCACTGAGAAACATATCTTATACAAATCGAGCAAATAGTACATTAAGCAATAGGCCTCCTTGCGAAGTTGCAGGGGCTTTGTTAACTTGAAAGGGCTTAGATATGGAAAATAAGGATGAAATTGCAGACCTTTAAGAATGAAATAGCCACGGGTTAGCGTTGCTAGTTGATGAGAAAACATCAAAGAGCGGTTGCGCCTTTTCAGCGTGATGAATGCCAACAAACTGCATATAGGGGGCTCCCCATTTTTCACGAGCTCTTTCAAGGTTTCCACATCCTCTTCTGGTTCTTTGTCGCGGCGGCGACAAAATGGGGGTGAAAGGAAATTGTAAGAGATGGGGTCAAAGGGCTGGATCATAGCTAACAACATCAACAGAGTAGAAGAAGAAGATGATGAGGCCATCTTCAAATTTCAATGAGTTAGAAAAGGGGTGGAGGATGTAAAGAACTTAGACAAATTAAAAGGACCTATTTATATAAAGTGAATAGAACAATATAAAAGCCATGATGTACTTTATTTCCTTAATATTAAAAGCCAACATTTACAAAACGTGGACTTTGCAAAGGGCAAAAAAGATTACAAACACTTACTTAAAATTACAACCTATTACTTAACATCTGATTAGACATAACCGTAATTATATTTTTTTAACAGTACATCAAATTTAAATAATAGTACTACTTAACTATTTATAACATTTGGTAAATGTTTTTAGAGTATATAAAACCAAATATTTATCCAATATTATTAATCACCCACTAATCCCGTAGTTGTGATACGGAATGCACATCGACGGCCTTGTAGTTTTGATTAAGTGCTTTTCACTGCCACCCACTCGACTGTGATTGACTCTCTCTGTCAAACTGTTTTAAAATGAACATCTTATTCCGAATCATACTTTCCCACACTGTCCCAACGATGCCTTGACTTTCCTGAAGTATATGTGTGCAAGGTAGGGCTGAGCAAAATTATCCAAAAAATCGAACCATAACCGAACCAAAATATTAGGTACCCGAACCGTTTATAGAAATTGGGTCGGGTAACCGAATCTATAAGAAATTAACGGTTCGGATAGCTGGTACCCGTTAACGCTGTTTCGGGTACTCGAATTACCCGAAAATCTAAAATGTCATTTTTTTTTTACAAAAAAAGTTGAAATTGAATATTATTGAAACCCGTGTTTATAAAAAAAAAACAAAAAAAAAACAAACCCTAATCTGTCGTTCTTTTCTCATTTCTCACCCACTCAACCTCCATCCCCTCTCTCTCCTCCTTCTCTTCTCTTATCTTTGGTTCTCTGATCTCCATTCTCCAAGTCTGTTCTTTGCCAACGGTTAGCCGTTTACCACAGGTAATTATCCCTTTCTCATATCTAGTTATTTGCAATGAATTCAATTTTTCATTTAATTAGTGGAACTCTTGTTCTCTTTGTGTTTTTTTCTTATTATCCTCACCGTTATCTCCCATTATTGGTGGTGTCCTATATTCCTCTATTCGTGACCGTGTAGTCGTGTACATTTTCAGGTACTTTCTTTTTCTCCTAGAATTTCAATTTTTTTTTTTATAGTATTTTCATTTCATTAATCCATTTTTTTTCCGTTGATTTTGTGGTATTTTGGCTTTGTTTGTTTTCTGATTTTATTGGTTCATCAGAAATTTATATACTTATTCTTTAATCTTCATATTTTTCCATATGCTATGTAGTATGTAGTATGTACTGAATTAGAGTGGCAAAAAAAAAAAATAAAAAAAAAAATAAATAAAATAAAAAAAAAATTGACAAATAACGGTAATTGTTATGGGCCTTAATTAATTATGAAGTGATTTTATTTGCCTTTCTATATCTCTCTTCGACTGTTGCTGATGTTATATTGTTATTGGTTGGGTGTTGGGTATCAAATGATGGTATATTTCATTTCAGTGGCATTTGTTATTTGAAATACTCTTGATTAGTTGAAATGGGTTGTAGAAGAAAAAGATAGGCTGCTTTGAAATACTCTTGATGTTTCCCTACTTATTTTGCAATGATAGTGTGCTTTTAGTTAATGTTTACAAGTAATGCTACCTTGTATTTAATATTTATTGCCAAATAAATCATGATTCTAGTTACATGGAATCGTGGATGGAAGTATGGCACTAGATTTGGGTTAGTTGTCTGAAGCAAATACTTAGTAAGTTAGTATTAGATTTTCAGTATGTCATTTATTTAGAATCTTGGTAGCTTGCACCTAGTGGTTAATTTTGTCCTATTGAATTCAGTTTGAACCTATTAGCATTTTATTGTACCATTGGTGAACATTGTTTTGTGTCTAGTTACTAACCAGATTTTCTCTTCATTCTTGTTATTTGTGTATACATGATTGAAATTATTTGTTTTTTTTTTATTTGTAGGACTGTATGGAATTTGGAAGTAGTGGGGAGATGGAAGACTCATCGGCTACAAGTCAAGCTCCTCTAAGTATGGTAGAGAAGTTTAGAAGATGATAGAGAAGTTAATCTTGCCGGAAAAAGCTTTGATTGTTTGGGGTGGTGGAAAAAATATGGTGAAAGGTACCCAACAATAGCTCTTATGGCTAGAGATGTACTTGTCATTCCTGTGTCAACAGTCTCTTTCGAATCAGCTTTTAGCATCGGTGGTCAAGTGCTTGATTCATTTCGCAGCTCACTTTCAACTAAGATGGTTGAAGCCTGGATTTGTGCACAAGATTGGTTACGTACATCGCAAGGTCCTCTTATACTTGAGGAGAGACTTGAAGATATGGAAAAAATTGAATCTAGTAACATTTAATTATTTTCACTTTTTTTAAATCTCATTATCTTCTTGTTAATTATTCCTTAACTTTTTTTTTTTTTTTTCTTTTGAAGAAATGTTACCTCTTGGTGAGGAACAATCCCTCTTTGTTGATGATGATTAGAGGCAGCAGCTGTTATAAGCATGAAGGTTGGTGGTGATTGAACTATTGAAGGCTGAAGTCATTGAAGACTTGGAAGTATTTTCTGAATTATGATTATTAAAGGCAGCAACTGTTATAAGAATTAAGGCTAGTATTTTTTGTAATCATAGACTTTTTTTAAAGGTTATGCATTAGTTTGTTATTTTTAAAACTATGGACTTTTTTTTTTAAGAAACTGTATGTTTGTATCAGGTATTCAGTTTCAATATCAGCCTATCAGGTTGTTATTTTTTAAATTCGTGGACTTTATTTTTTAGGTCCTGTATTAGGTGGTTATATTTATTATTATGGATTTTTTTTAGGTACTGTTCAGGTATTCAGGTTGAATTTTTATAATTCAAAAAAAGGAAGTAAAAAAAACTAGTAAAAAGCATCTAAAATCCAATTCTAAAGCAGGTGTTAAATAAATAAAAAGACCCAAAAATGAAAAGTCAGCTTATTGGTTCGGTTCGGATATTTGGTTCGGGTACTCGTATTTTCGAATATCCGAATTTACGGGTACCCGAACCTTATCGGAACGATTTTGGGTATCGGTTTTAGCCTTAACGGTTATCGGGTAACCGGACCAATAACGTTATTGGTACGGGTACCCGTCCCATGCTCTCCCTAGTGCAAGGTGCTCCTCGAATTATTTGGTGCATCAAAAACATCCGTAACTTCGTTGACCACAATGAAGGAAATGTTGTAAGTCTTAGCAATTTCGTTCATTTTTCTCGCTATAGCCACTAACATCCGTTTTCGCTCAATGAAACCTTTGAATGTGTTGTCATGTTCATGCCTGAATAAATAGCCTATTGAATCTAGAACGGCAACTCTCCTGTGCTTAAAACCTTCATGAGAATTCAACACCATTAGTTCCACTTGGTTCAGACAAAAAAAAATTGTCCCGGGTCATCTATTTTTTTTACTTGTACCAAACTAAGTGGATTTGCATCAACTACCTAACTTTCAACCAAATGTGTACTTAATTGGTTGAGTCTCTTGGCTGGAAACACAAGACATGCTTGAATGTAAATGGATGATCCATAGTGCCTACTGTCACGTGGATTCAACAAGCACGTCAATAGAATCTGCAAACATATTTGGGTTTTACCAACCCCACTTTCGCCGTAAATCTCACTCACTTCACATGTACGTATGTCGCCATCCAATATAAAATCTATCCTTTCACATTTGGTGATACATTTTTTATCCATTTTGTGTTCAAAAAGTGTCTTCTTTTCATACCACCGTTGAATTCAGTGGAATACTCATATATAGAAGGTAGTCGTGGATAAAGATAATATGCATGAAAGATTGCTCTTATAACGTTAATTCCATGCTCTAGTGATTGCTCTGAAAAGAAAACATATTCGCATATTTATAAAATTTACTGTTACTTTAATCTATAAACTGTTATAACTCTAAAAATACCGTTATAATTAAATACAAACCTGTCACAGTAAACATAACATCCAATAATATGTCATGGAGAAAACGGCAAAAAGTACACCATGTACAAGTATACAAATTATTCACAACCGATTAAGGTATTCTCCTATAGTTATTATTTTATATAAACTGTTTTTATTAAAAGTATACAGTTAGAGAACGACACAGTGAAGGGTCTATAGGTCTATTACATAAAAAATCTATACAAAATCTAATACAAATTCATGCAAGAACTGATATATACTGTTTAAATAAATTAATAAACGGTTATAATAATATATAAACAGTTAGTTTGAAGATGTATACAATTATATATCGTATATCCAATATAATATATTCATGCATGTTAACACCCATTTTCTCGTCACATTGTAAAGTCACAGTACAAAATAAACAGTTAAAAATCTAATATGTATAGTTATTATAATGTATAAACCGTTACTAGTGAAATATAAACCGTTAAACCTCATGGGTTTTACTGACGTTGACGCCCTTGTTAATAAAAGTAATTAGGCTATAATGAACAATTTATAATGTTTATGGACCGTTTATGTTAATATTATAACTGTATTGCTTTTATAAGAAGTAGTAAGAGCACCGCTTAGGGTTTACCATGCATGTAACCTATAATTGTCTCTTTATAGCCTATAAGAGTTTATATAAAAATTTTGTAAATAAAGATAACCGTTTGTAGTTATTTATTAATTGTATAATATATAATTTTAACAATATTAAGCTAGAATCTGAGTACTTTTACCTCTTGTCCCTCATCCGTCTATATAAAAAGAGGAGAGGAGAGGAGACCAAGCTAACATCATAAATCATCCAAAATGGCAGACCAGCAACACAACCAACTGCCAATGGTAAAGTTAGAAGTTGATTTGTAAATTAACTACTTCTAGTCGTAATTGATTATACAGTTGAATATCTCTTGTCTCTTACTTTTTTGTTTAATTCAGGGTCGAAGAGAGGGGTTTCCATATTGCAAGCGGAGGAAGTGAATGTTGGAGATGTGGGCCGGGATGAAGGTTGGGAAGTTAATGTTGCAAAATGGCGAAAATGGGAAACAAGAGCCAAACAAAGAAGTCAACTACGGCAAGCTTAAATAATTGTTTATGGCGAATCTAAATTATGTTATGAAGTATTGTTAAAGTTGTAGTTGCCAAGGATATCTCATGTTAATGTAATTTGAAATTATTAGTGTCCGTTAATAAAATGAAATGAAAAATCTTTACTTGTTTTAAAATTAATTGAGCAATCAGACTCATTCAATATATGCAGCAACTTTTCACTTGTAAGCAAATAGTATGTGTAAACAGCAAGTACAAAATTAATTCAAATGACGGTTCAAAATTAATATTTACATCAGACCAAAAGTTACTTTTATTAATGATATGTACTGATAATAAAAAACCAAACCTATGCATAGGCTTTCTTTCACTAATAAAACTCAAAAACATCAAATAAAAAGCATTTCAATCAAAGTTACTACTACTACCTCCACGTCCATCTTCATGAAATAAATAGCCTTTACTCCATAAAAAATACTACTACCTCTTACTACTACCTCCATGTCCATCTTCATCAACACCAAAATTTTCTAAATTTAGCAATGACAAGCGCACTTTAGGGCGCGCTTTAGAGCATATATTAGGATGATTTTGGATGTATTTGGGGCCGTTTTGGCCGATTATTACCTTGTTATGCTTATGTCCCCTATATTACGTGCTTCACGGGTTTTCGGTTTGTTTTTGATGTGTTTTCAGGTAATATCAACCGAGTTTAGTCAGATCCCGAGCCCTTGATGCGTAACCGAGCTAGCCTTGACCGAAGTCCGAGGAGTTAAGAAAGTTCAAGTGTCGTGCATTGATTACATAGCACAGGCAGCACGACCGTGTTACCATAGACACACCCGTGCTGGCTTATGAGCAAGCAGCCCCAGGCAAGGCAGCACGGCCGTGCAAGCCAATAGCACGACCGTCTCAGTATCCACGCACCAGCACGGCTGTGCAGGACATTGGCACGGCCGTGCCAGATGTTTCCCGTGCCCGTGTCAGCTTTAGTATGAGCCCCGTGCTAGAGCATATTCAGCACGGCCGTGTCATTTTTAGCACGGCCGTGCCAGGCAGCTGCACGACCGTGCCAAATATAGCACAACCGTGCCAAATTGAAGAAGAAATCTGGTTTAGCTACTGACAAGCTAGCACGGCCGTGCCAAATATAGCACGGCCGTGCTGATCCAGGGTTGACTGCGCGCTTTACTTCTCCGAATTAGAAGACGTATATAAGGCCCGACTTTAAGGAGCGTTTTTAGCAGATTTAGAGATAGTTTTTGAGAGCCTTTGTAGAGAGTTATTGGAGAAAGTTCTTGGTATTAGAGATTCATTAGTTTTCTTAAAGATTATTCTAGCGATTTTAGTTTCTTGGATTGATTTGAAGCAAGATTTGTGAAGATTCTTTGTATTATTCATTGACGACGGATATCAAGGTTCTAAACTTTTCCATTGATTCGCATCAATACAATTGGTATTATTCATTCTTGTTTATTAATCTAGCTTTATTATTCCTTAATCAGAATTTATGTTTAGATCTATGATGTTTATGGAATCTATTATTACTGTGATTATGAATATGTGTGAGTAGTTTCCTAGCTAGGGTTTCGGGATGAAACCCGGCCTAGGTAATCTATGTAATTGAGGATTGGTTTTGATAAACGGATTGTGATTAAACTGATTATATGCGATTGCATGTTAATTCATTATAATAGGAGTAGCTAACCTAGAGTCTTGAATTTGATTGCATGTTATTCTTGGTTTGAACAAGAGATTGTGAATTGAGTATTTCATTATTGAATGTGGTTTGATTATGTATCGAGTAATGTTAAGTGCATGAGAAATCCAAGCTTAGTATTGCCCGTTGTCTTCCTATCGCACGTTATTGATCAGACATATAGTCTTTGCATATCCCGTTTGTCTCTATGATTCCTTGTTGCGTAGTTACCGATGGTTTGGTGAATTCCCGTTCTCCCTAGTGTCTTAGTTTATTGATTTATTCCATCTTATTAGTAGTATTTTAGAACACCATTTTTCCATTGATTTCGAACAAGCTTAGGTTTAAGATTGATTTGCAATTACTCTCGTTCCTCGTGGATCGAACCTTTATTTGCCATTGTACTTGGTCATAGGGCGTTCGTATAAGTATTGTTTGATTGAGAGTTAGATTGTAGCGACCGATTTAACCCTTGTCAAAATGGCGTCGTTGCCGGGGAGCGGTGTTTGTTAATTGCTTTTTGATTTCTTGAGTCTAGTTCTTAAAACAAAAATACAAAAAGACTTTTCTTTTTGGCTACACTTGTAGCCCGGCTATTTGACTGGTTTGTTTAGTGTGTATGCGCAGGTCTAAACAGGGAGAGTTAATACCCTTCGATCCCGAAATCGAAAGGACTTTGAAGAGCAATCATAAATCTCGATGACGTCATCAAACTCTCAAGAAAAGGAACACAACACACAACAGGTTCCAATGACAGACATACCGCGCCAACCTAATCGGCCAGCACCACGACCCCTTAAGGAGTTGGGAACTCCTGGGGCGTATAGAGCTTCAAGTGGGATTGCTCCACCCACTACTGAGGTCAATGATTTTGAGATCCGGCCGACTATGATCACCCTCATCGAGAGAAGGCAGTTTAGTGGTGCCAAGCATGAGAGCCCTTTGGCTCATTTGAACGAATTTGAGAAGTACTGCAATACCATCAAGGTTAATGGGGTGAATCAAGAGTTCGTGAGATTGAAGCTTTTCCCCTTTTCACTTATTAGGAGAGCTCTCGAATGGTTAGAGAAGGAGGTGAAGCCGAACTCTCTTCACACTTGGGATGATGTCACGACAGCATTCTTGGGAAGATTTTCTTCCCAAAAGAAGACGGCCGATGC